TTACAATAAATTTGTAAAAAAGTTTTGTAAGCAATATAACGATAAACAAATTTGTGTAGGTATTGTGTTGAATACAATGAGTGTACACTTATACAATATACATTATGTTGGTCTTACAGGCCACAAATGTTACTAGAAAAAGAAAAAAATTAGAAAAGAAAAGAAAAAAGTATAAAAAACTTAAAATAAAAAAATGCAATTTTGCGGAAGTCACTGATGTTGCCGCCACCCGGTCATTTTGGGTCAACTTCCCGCTGCTGTATCTCGGTAAGTACTGATCAGAATTTTTTTTTTGTTTTATTACTTTCACAAAAATATTATCTTTAATTCTGTAAGAAAATTTTTTTTTTTTTTTTTTTTTTTTTCAAAATTTCTTGGACACTGGGGCACCCCTTCAGATTTTGGCCTTGGACCCTGAAAGGGTTAAAGGTTTGAGGTGACTGACTGTGGTAGATCCCCAAGCACAAATACTATAGGTGAGGTAAGGGTATGTTAGAGTGAGATATGAGGTGAGGAGGGCCCATTGGGGTACATAGTATCATATCTTGGAAAGGATTCCTACTGTTTTGGAAACTTTCTTAGTTATAGGTTGGATGTGGGTCTGAAATTTAAGATTACAGTTAAGGCAGAGACCTAGAAATTTACCCGCAGTGTGTCTTGTAATGGGTGAACCATTTATTGATATGTTTAGCTGGATATTTGATGCTGTTTCCAAAAAGCATGAAGTAGGTTTTGTCTATATTGAGGGTAAGTTTGTTGGTAGTCATCTAGTTTGATATTTTAAGTAGCTCGCTGTTTACAGTGTTACTAAGTATAGCCGGGTTTGGTGGGAGAAGACATAAGCGGTGTCATCTGCAAATAGAACTGGTTTAAGGAGTTGCAATGCATTTGGGAGGTTTTCGATTTAAATAAGAAAGAGTAGAGGACCTAGGACACTCCCCTGTGGCACTCCACCAACTACAGGCTGAGTATTGGAGGTCACGCCATTTATGTACACATACTGGTGTCTACCACTAAGATAAGATTTTAGGTAGTTGAGCGAGTGTCCTCTGACCCCGTAATGCTCTAGTTTTAGGTGCAAGATATTGTGGTTGACTGTATCAAATGCTTTCCGTAGTCCAGTTTCCGTGACAACACTACCACCAAGTTCATCAGTGGAATGGAATGGATAATAATCCCTTTTCCCACTTCCCTGGAGATGAAATTCACAAGAAAATACATACTAAAGTAAGAAAGATGAATGGAGAGAAGAGGGGATGGGTGATCAGTATTTAATTTCAGTGCAGGGAAAAGGATAAAACATCTATATCTTTGGATCAAGCTTAGTATGATTTGGTACTGTAAGCTCTTTGAAAGTGCTTGGGTTAGTGATACTCTTCACTATTGTTAAGCTACCCCTCAAGAGAGGTGCTCATGATCCAAGGAATGGAACTTAACCTCCTCTTCCCCTGGATCGAACCTGATTGCCTCCCATTTCCTAGGTGCTATATGACCCCTACAGGTTTAGTGCTTCCTATGAGTAAAGTGAAATGTTAACCCTTTGAGGGTTGACAGGCTCTCTCCAAGACTCGTTCTCAGGGTCGGCCAAATTTTAAAAAAAAAAATTATTTTTTCTTATGAAAAGATAGAGAATCTTTTCCCGATCATAATGACACCAAAAGTATGAAATTTGATGGAAAACTTACGGAATTATGCTCTCGCGAAGTTAGCGGTCTCGGCGATGTTTACGCATCGGCGTACGTATGTTCATAATGCCTTTGCAAATAACCACTCAGTTATTGCCATATTTTTTGACCTTGAGAAGGCATATGACACAACTTGGAGGTATCTTTTTTGGGCCCAAGCCACTCCTTGGGCCCTTTCGAGGAAAATTTACCCCCTTCCTTAAGAAACTTTTTAACTGACAGCATTTCCGTGTTCGGGTTAATAAGGCTCCCCCCTAATTTACCAAGCTGAAGGTGTCCCCCAGGGATTGTTCTGACACAACACTTTTTCTCCTTGCTATTAATGTTTTGGCCCCTCTAGTCTTCCATCAATTTTTGGGTCATCCCTCTATGTTGATGACTTCGCTTTGCCTGTGCAGGCGTGACTGTCCCCTCATTACAGTTTCTCTCCAACATGCGTCGACCGGTTTCCCAAATTTGGGCCCACCACACGGGGTTTTTTAAATTTTCCCACTAAAACCCCCCAAAATTACTTTAAATAGACGCCTGTCTCTCCCATCATCCTTTGTACCTCAGGTCCCTATCCCCCAAATGAACAGTCAAATTTCTGGGCCTCCTCTTTGATCGTAGGTTTTCCTGGAAACCTCAACATTAACTCTCTGAAGGAACTTGTCCACAGCGGCTGAACCTTTTAAACCTTGCTCATCTTTTCATTGGGAGCTGAATCGTCGAACCCTCCTTCGCCTACATTCCACCCTTATTTTATCGAAACTTGATTATGGTGACCAGATCTATTCAGCGGATCTCTGCTACTCTCTCTATCCTTAAACACATTCATCACCAAGGATTCGTTTATGCCTTGGTGCTTTTCGCTCTTCCCCTGTCGAGAGCCTCTATGCAGAAGCGAACGGTTCCATCCTTTATCGATCGCCGTGATGCCCATTGCCTGCGTACTATGGTCGCTCTCATGATCTCCGCCAATCCGTCCATTTTATAGAATGGTCCACTATAATTAGTAGACATTTCTTTATCTTGTTCGCCCGGCCTGTTTACTCCGGCCCTTCACTCTTCGCCTTCATCGCTCTTGTTTCTCTTCAACTACCACCTTTCTATGGTACATGTTAGCATCTCACTTTTCACAACCCATGGGGAAGTTCCAGCTGTTCGAGTCTGTTCTTTTCTCCCCCCCTTGCTCGGAAAGCTCAAAATGTATACAGTCGCTTCCGCTCTCTTTTTTGACCACTTTCACTCTCATTCTTCATGCCATTGCCGTTGTACAAGGATGGCGTCTATCAGTCTTTCTGACGGCGTAGGATTCGCAGCAACTAGCAGTGTTTCCGTGGACAGCGTCGTGCAAGGGCATTTATTATCTTTGGCTAGTATTTTACTGCTGAATTGTATGCATCCTTACAGCACTTATCCGATTTGCATATATGCCATGCTGTATCATTTGTGGTTGTCTCAGACTCCTTAGTGCTTTACAGGCGTATACAAAATTTGATACACCTCACCCCTTAGTCCTCCGTACTCCAACTTGGCCTACGCCGCATCTTTACCAAGCATAAAGATATTGTGGTTTTTTTGTTTGGGGTTCCTGGTCTGTTGAGTTTTACAGGGTAAATGAACAGGCAGACACTGCTGACGCGGGTCAGCAGTACATGAACTACCAGGATTCTTATAGAGGTATTCCATTTACGGATATTTTGCTGCAATAATCTTCCAACTTCACATCCCGTTGGCACAACAACGTTGGTTACTATGCTCGGTCACAAACTTCAATCTATTTTATTTAAACGAGTATATAGGTTACTGGACGTTTCTTATCACCAGTGTCGAGGTTGGGAGACTACTCTCTCCCGTCTTCGCATTGGCCATATCTCGTCTTACTCATGGATATCTCATGGAGAGGCGTCCTGCTCCTCTCTGTGAGAACTGCCAAGCTCCATTATCAGTCAGCCACATTCTGTTGGACTGCCCACTTTATCAACGAGCACGCAGAATTTACCTCTGTCGTCATCTTCGCTCCGCTGCTCTCTCTTTACCTTCCCTTCTCGCTGATGGACCCACCTTTCATCCGGACTCTCTCATTGACTTTTTGACAACAACTGACTTACTTCACAAATTGTGATACCTTCAGCCCTTTCTACTTCAATCTCTTGCTACCCTCTACCCCCGTACTATCCCCTGCCCCGCTGTTTTCTGTAACCTGCTGATCATCCCTCCTCCCTTCTGCCATCCAATACCCTTGCTTCCTTCCCTACCCTGCAGCGCTGTATAGCCCTTGTGGCTTAGCGCTTCTTTTTGATTATAATAATAATACGCATCGGCGATTTTGCCCACTCTGAGCCCCTATTTTCGGCCAATTCCACTGTACTAGTCGACAAAAAACATGAATATTTTGCCCAAACTCCATTTTTTCTATTGAATGAGTGCAAGAAACCACCCATTTACCAATTTCAACTATCCAGTACAGTGGTCAGAATTTAGCAGTTTTGCCAATTTCACACAAATTTCAAAAGATGCCAATTTCTGAATAGGGTCCAGAATAAACAAGAAAGACACTCCTGGCACTAAAATGACATTTCCTCTGTTCATTAGTCACGTCTCAAGGCCCCTCTTACATTCTTTTGCTTTCCGCTTTGAATTTTTATTCTCACAAAAAATAGAAGATTTACTGTTATGCAGACTACTGCATTAATTTAAAAAATGGTATAAATAATATTGGCGCACTTGCAAAAGAACATTAGACTCGCCAGTCGATGTGTATTGGACGCTTGGCATGATTTGTTTACTTTTTAACTCTGGTAAAAATCGAACATTTCTGCTACTTTGAGCTCAATTTCAAGGTACTTTTTATTGTAAAACCAGTCAAAATCCTCTCAATTTCTGTAATATGTCTTCCATTCTATAAAATGAGACCAAGAAAACTAGAATACAACAATAAATACCATACGAAAATACAGTGCAAAATTGCTGTTTTATTCCAAAAAATCATAGTTTTTTTCTCATTATGCACTGTGTTTTGCAGGATTTTTTTTTATAATGTGCACACTGACCACATAGACCCATTCTTTCATATGTAGGCCTACCAGCTTTCTCCCACTAGATTTGAGGGCGCTAGAATTTAGGCGTACTAGTACGTCAAAAACCCTGGGCCGTAAGCTGTACTAGTACGGCCGAAACCCCCAAAGGGTTAAGAGGCACTGAAAGATGTTTGAAAGTATTTGGGTTTGTAATAGTCTTCACTTTTCTTAAGCTACACAAGCATCAGTTTTGTTTCCACTAAGCATATGTTGGTATAGGAAAGTAACTGAAAAATTACTAACTGTATTTCAGGCTGAACACTGTGATGTCATGCTCTCGAGTCATGGTTCTCGATGATGGAAAAGTTGCAGAGTTTGACACACCAAGCACTCTTCTTGCCGACCCTTCTTCAATGTTCTCCAAGATGGTTGCAAAAGCTGAATCTTTCTTCACTCACTGAAGACTGTATAATGAAGCCATGTTAATACACTACTATTGTAAAATTTTATTTTTATGCAATATAGTGTCAGTGTTAAAGAAAGGCATTATTCACAGTACATAATTTTTGTCAATACACCTACTATCCGACTTACAACCTGCTCAACATACGTCCACTCGACTTACGACCGTGCACCTGGCAGCTGGGCTGGGCCGGCTGATGCACACAACTGTACAATATTTGACAATACTCGCGGCAGCAATGCGTCATGCAGGCAGCATCAGTTTGAGTAACCCTGTCCTATCAGCAGCATCATACTGTATTAACTGTACTAACTGGACAGTAAATTTCACCATGACCCCTAAGATGAAGTCTGTGGCAAGAAAGGCTCTTACTCTCGAACTCTCTGTTTGTTTTCACTGTTGCACATAAACCTGTCTGTATCTGTCTGCCTATATATCTGTGTATCTCTGTGTGTCTGTCTTTCTGTCTACCTCTGTGTCTCTCTTTATGTCTACCTGTGTGTCTTTGTCTACCTGTGTGTCTGTCTGTCTACCTGTGTTTGTCTGTCTTTCTGTCTGCTTGTCTGTCTCAGAGCCACTCATTAAGAGTGTAATTGGTCTTGAAGATGCCATGTTAATAATGATAATAACACAATAATCACTGAGGCGCATTAAATGTGTATAAAATGTTGATATAGACATTTTGCTTAATCCATCCATGATTTCTTTTTCAAAATTATATCATAAACATGCTACATAACATATAAATTAACAAATATGAGATGTTTTTCAGGTCGGCTTGACAGAGTGAACAGGAATCATTCGTGTCCGGGCTGGTAACAACAACAACGTTTGTTTACATAACTCGCCAACCTTCTACACACTCATTCGTTTATTCATTTAATCTTGTTTACTCACCTCTCACTCTACATTAAGACTACAGATATTTTAAGGTAAGTAATGAGTGGACACGATTATTATATTATAATTTAATAATAATATTATTAATATTAGTACATATGTATTATTGTAATAATAATAATTATTATTAATATTATTAATTTAGGGCACTGGAGCACAGATCCACTGTATAGCACTTTGTCTGGATTATTTGGGTTATCCTAGGTAATTTATACTATGTATGATAACTTTACTTACGTGTGCCTGAGAGAGAGAAAGAGAGAGAGAGAGGGAGAGCCACATTCAGTCAGCCGGCCTCCCACCCACCCACCCACCCGGCCAGCCAGCCAGCTACGTATTACACATGTTCCAGAGTTGTTTCTCTTTACTTAGGGTATAGGTTATACTACATTCTGGCAGGATGACACTACCAGTGGTATTCTCCCATTCCACTGTGTCGACAAAACATAAGGATAACAGTAACATATGATACTGTATGCAATGTAAAATTTACAATACAGTTCACTACCATGTATACATTATATACAGTAAATAAATAATTAAAATATAACAATAGAAGTAAATTATGGTAAAAAAAATGAAATAATGATTGTACATTACATTACAGTACTATGTAGGTAGTTTATATAGGAAAATTTTGACATTATGCCCTACCCAGTTTGTCGGCAATTTTCAAAGGTTTGACTTACGTCCGGTTGGCCGGAACCAAGCTTGGTCGTAAGTCGGATGGTAGGTGTACATGATTGTTTCAGTTTGTTATTAAATATTTCTAAGTTTAATCATTTTTCTATTAACCCTTAAACTGTCCAAATGTAGATCTATGTTTGCATGCATAGCCCTCCAAACGTAGATCTACTTTTTTTATCTAAGAAACAATATTAAATAGAACGTAGATCTATATTCGGAGCGCTACGCGTGTGAACGTAAATCTACGTTTGGACAGTTTAAGGGTTCAGGGTAAACAAGACACAGTTGCAAATAGTAACTTCATCGAGATGTTTCGCCTGTGGCCAGACTTCTTCAGTCAATATACAGGGATGTGCAACAAGAAGTTCTTTTTTTCATCAAACTAGCCATATTGCAACGAGGCAGGGTTACCTAAAAAGAAAAATGAAAGTCTCTCTTTTTAAATTTAGTGATATATACAGGAGAAGGGTTACTAGCCCCTTGTTCCCAACATTTTAGTTGGCTCTTACAACAAGCATGGGTTACAGAAGAAGAATTCTGTTCCACTTCCCCATGGAGAACAAGCAGATTTATACATTATTATTATTATCATTATTATTATTATTATTATGGGGAGCACTAATCCCATAGGGATTATACAGCACCTGTGAAGGGGGGGAAAGGGGTGTAAGGTATTCAGGCTCAATTCAGTGAACTGGAGCACAGATCCAGTTCCCTAGATCAAGAGCCCCTTACCGGTATTAAGGAACATTCCTTGAAGGGCAGATTTATACAACTCAGGTGAATGATCTTGTCGGTGAGATCACTGTGTGGGGTGACTTGTGAGATGAAAGCACTGCAGGAAGCCTGCCAGTCCTTCCCATGACCTGTTTGTCAGATGAACTGTTACAAGTGTGGCCTTTAGAAGCATGAGACTTCTGTCTGTGTTTTCAGGTTTCATTGATGATTTTGTATGTATGATCTCCACAACCCAAACGATGGAAAAAACTTCATTGCCTGCAAGATGTCTTGCAGAATATTGGGCTCTTTCTTTAGATATTCAGGGCTGTAGATCCTGTAGATATGGAAAAATGTTGCACTCTTCTGTTGGGCTATCATTAGCTACCTCTTCTAAGGTAAACTGACCAGGTTGAGTATCTTTTGGGACAATGAGCAGAATATCAATGTCATCCTGGTAAACGTGTTATCAGTTAAGGATGAAAGGTTTACCATCGTACCTAAAACGGTCACATGACTTTGCTATACAGACAATAATTTACTCATTGCCCTCAAATGACTCAACCTCAAGAACAATCTGAATAGTGTGGAACCATCCATTTAATTCACCCTGAATGAGGAAGCTAAACAATGTCCCTTTCCTCAATGTACCTCTCATTAAACATAACAGCCACCTCAAATTCCAAAGTAGTATATATATTGAAAACCCATCAACAATAATGACACGATACCCTACCACAACTATTCACACCATGACCAAAGAATAATACGAGGTGCACTCACTGGTATGTGTGTAAATGCCTACAGGATCTGCAGCCCAAATATCTGGAGGAAGAGTGCAACATAATAAAAGACATCTTCCAGGCACTCAAGTTTCCTCCACACATCATCTAAAACTGCTGGGATCGTTTACATAAAATTTTCCATTCACTGAAACTAAAGAACAAGACAGAAGACTCATCCTTCCTACAGGCCACACTACAATATATTTCACCCATCCTCACCAAGAGCAACATATGTGTTGCCACTGTTACGTCCAGTACCATTAAAGACAAGACCAAACAACAAGACAACCACCAGAACCACAACAACACAAGTGTGTACATCATTCCATTAGGCAGTTGTGACCATAAATGTATGGGAGAGACTAATCATAACTTACAGATCAGATTGAAAAAGCATCAGTATGCCTGCAGGACTAACAGCATGAAAAATGCCTATGTGATACATGGGAACCAGACTGCTCACCAGATGTCTCTGAAGGATACCCAGCTGTTTATAAAAGTAAATCAAATCAAATCAAATTTATTCTTTATAAGGATTACAATGCTGAGTTTACAGAATTTGGATATTGTGTGGTTTACATGTTTTAAAATACTAATTACAGAGGGGGCCACTAGAACACATAGCATGGCTAGGCATTTCGGGCAGACTTAGATTAATTCTTAACTTTAAAATATTACAAATTATGAGGTAAGTTGGTATTATGGCTAAGTGACTAAGTTTGTGAGTTTAGCAATGTGAATGTTTTGTTTTCGCAAATACTATTTTTCATATTGGATAATGGCAAAACCAGGTGCCTAAACACAATTCAAACACAAAATACAACCATGAGAATCAACTTTCAGTTTTTCCAAACCTGAAACCCAAAAATCATTTTAAAAAAGCGGGTCCGGAAAAGACTGGGCAGTGCTTCCAACTCACAAATCACTCCAGTACCTCACTCCCCTGGTTGAAAAATTTGCTTGCTGACACTCCATGTATTGACTGAAAAAATTGGCCAAAGACAACATCTAGCTTTTCTGCGGGGAACTCATGAACCTTCAAATTTGTTGTTCTTCTGCAATTGTTTTTTCCCCACTTGTTGGCTTTGTGCAATTTGTTTCAGTTTCATTAATTTTTTTTTTTTAAATACTTTTTTTAAATAAAGTTTTGCATCTTTTAATAAACTTAAAGCTTTGGATTTAGTTGTTTGACTTTTAGCATCCGGGGATTTAAATTTAAGGCCCCTAAAATGGGGGGAATATATAAAATAAATTGTTGCAGTAAAAACACCAGGAGGCAGCTCTGATGATGGGGATTCAACTTAGGCACCTAAAAGGGGAGGAATACAGCAAATAATATTGTTACGTAATAAAACCGGGGGCAGCTCTGATGAAAAATCTCACCCCAAAGAGCTTTTAAATCTTGCAAAAAATTAAATTTTAAACCAAAAATAATAGAGCCTACTAAATGGAGAATACATAGACCCCTTTTCACAACAATGATGATCGATACGAAAAGTCCCATATCAAAACATTATACTCAGATCACACAAATTTAGGGTTTAGAATGTAGCGTGAGCCCCAGACCGACATAGTGGAAAAGTCACGAGGGGCATTCACCAAATTCAACTTCAATAACAAAAAAATAAGTGGACCAAATAAACCAAGCCTAAACGATTAACTGGGGAAAATATACTAAGCAACACAGACCCCAACTTTCCAGAAACAGATTAACCGGGGGCACTCGATGTATGCCAAGGCTTTTTTCCTTTAAGAAAAAGGGGGAGTAGATGTAAAATAGAAAGAGCAGGCCTCCCTTTTTCAGGGGCGGAAAAAATAACAGGGGCCCCAAAACAGGGCAATATATCTAAAAACGTGGGGGAACACTGGCAGAGAAAAAAGCAAGCATCGAACTTAACAAAGGAAAACTTTTGGAGTCAGGAATCGGGGAAAAACTAAAAGGCCAAAAGAAATCAAAGAAACCCAAAGTATTTCTTCCCTACCAAACAAAGTCGAGAACAACGTCCCCGTAATTGGGCCCCACTTTAAAAAAGATGGTCCACACAGATACAGCAAGGAAATGAATGACTACTCGAGTCCCAATATGACTCAATTTTACAACTGCTAACCCAAATGCGAGTCGAAGATCAAATAATTTTTTATGAGAGAGCCACAGAATTTGGTTAACACAAGCCTATCTGATGCTATCCTGATGCCAAATGACTGAACAGGCGATAAATGACATGCCCATGCACTCTGCCCCAGGGCCAGACTCATGGAACTCTGTGTTCATCAAGAACTGCAAGAAGCCCCTATCATGAGCTTTTACCATCCTATGGAGAGGGAGCATGGACACGGGGGTCGTCCCACAGCTACTAAAAACAACAGACATAGCCCCACTCCACAAAGGGGGCAGTAAAGCAATAGCAAAGAACTACAGACCGATAGCACTAACATCCCATTTCATAAAAATCTTTGAAAGGGTCCTAAGAAGCAAGATCACCACCCATCTAGAAACCCATAAATTACACAACCCAGGGCAACATGGGTTTAGAACAGGTCGCTCTTGTCTGTCTCAACTATTGGGTCACTACGACAAGGTCCTAGATGCACTAGAAGACAAAAAGAATGCAGATGTAATATATACAGACTTTGCAAAAGCCTTCGACAAGTGTGATCATGGCGTAATAGCGCACAAAATGCATGCTAAAGGAATAACAGGAAAAGTCGGTCGATGGATCTATAATTTCCTCACTAACAAAACACAGAGAGTAGTAGTCAACAGAGTAAAGTCCGAGGCAGCTACGGTGAAAAGCTCTGTTCCACAAGGCTCAGTACTCACTCCCATCTTGTTTCTCATCCTCATATCTGACATAGACAAGGATGTCAGCCACAGCACCGTGTCTTCCTTTGCAGATGACACCCGAATCTGCATGACAGTGTCTTCCATTGCAGACACTGCAAGGCTCCAGGCGGACATCAACCAAATCTTTCAGTGGGCTGCAGAAAACAATATGAAGTTCAATGACGAGAAATTTCAATTACTCAGATATGGTAAACACGAGGAAATTAAATCTTCATCAGAGTACAAAACAAATTCTGGCCACAAAATAGAGCGAAACACCAACGTCAAAGACCTGGGAGTGATCATGTCGGAGGATCTCACCTTCAAGGACCATAACATTGTATCAATCGCATCTGCTAGAAAAATGACAGGATGGATAATGAGAACCTTCAAAACTAGGGATGCCAAGCCCATGATGACACTCTTCAGGCCACTTGTTCTATCTAGGCTGGAATATTGCTGCTCACTAACAGCATCTTTCAAGGCAGGTGAAATTGCTGACCTAGAAAATGTACAGAGGACCTTCACGGCGCACATAACGGAGATAAAACACCTAAATTACTAGGAGCGCTTGAGGTTCCTGAATCTGTATTCCTTGGAACGCAGGCGGGAGAGATACATGATTATATACACCTGGAAAATTCTAGAGGGACTAGTACCGAACTTGCACACGAAAATCACTCACTACGAAAGCAAAAGACTTGGCAGACGATGCAACATCCCCCCAATGAAAAGCAGGGGTGTCACTAGCACGTTAAGAGACCATACAATAAGTGTCAGGGGCCCGAGACCGTTCAACTGCCTCCCAGCATACAACAGACCCCTGGCAGTCTTCAAGCTGGCACTGGACAAGCACCTAAAGTCGGTTCCTGACCAGCCGGGCTGTGGCTCGTACGTTGGTTTGCATGCAGCCAGCAGTAACAGCCTGGTTAATGAGGCTCTGATCCACCAGGAGGCCTGGCCACAGACCGGGCCGCGGGGGCGTTGACCCCTGGAACTCTCTCCAGGTAAACAGTATATATATGAGTGTAATTATTTTTACAATCAAAACAGAGCATTAAACCCACAATGTCCTAGTTGTACTTACCTAGTTGTGTGTGCAGTGGTCGAGTCACAGCTTCTGGTCTTGCCTCTTAACTTTTATCAAATGAAGGACGTGTTTATATCCTAGCTTCCATGTCTCCATCATATATATAAACAACCCTCTCATAACAGCTGGCTTACACTCCTAAAAAGCAGCACTTCATGCGAGAGTTTTATGTAAAATAGGTTAATGAGGGTTATACATATTCTAGAATCATAAGTCACAGTTTATAATAATAATAATAACAATTTCTACAAGTACATCAATGACATACTACTATATAGAAAGCCCCTTGTTATGCAGAGCATTTCAGGCAAATAAGGTGAATTTTGTCCCAGGATGTGACCCACACCAGTCCACTAGCACCCAGGTACCTATTTTACTGATAGCTGAATAAGGACACCAGATGTATTAGGAAACACATCCAAATGTTTTCACCTGTACCAGGGATCAACCCCTGGATCTCAGTGTGTGAACTGAGTGCACTAGCAATTGAGCTACAGGACACTTGCCAGAATCATGAGTCACAGTTTACATCACGACTAGAATCATGAGTCACAGTTTACAACATATCTAGAATTAAGCATTGCACTTTACAAAATATCTAGAATCATGGGTTGCAGTTTACAACACTGTCAGCATCATGAGTCACAGTTTACATCACGACTAGAATCATGAGTCACAGTTTACAACATATCTAGAATTATGCATTGCACTTAACAAAATATCTAGAATCATGGGTTGCAGTTTACAATACAACTAGAATCATGAGTTGCAGTTTACAACACTGTCAGCATCATGAGTCACAGTTTACAACACTTGATCATCACTTTATTTGTTCACCACAAATTATTTTAGTCCCTTTTATATTGTCTCTTTTATTTTAGCTTTAAAAACTACCTTAGCTCATTATTTTTTACATTTGTTAAATAATTCTGGTGCTTTTTTTTTTTTTTTTTTTTTTTTTTTTTTTTTTTTTTTTTTTTTTTTTTTAGCTTTAGAATATTTACTTTATTTTTTACTTAATTCTAACTATAGATTCACTACAAATCTTATGATTACAAGCATTGATCCTGATACCAACCTCTTATTTAATGACTTAAATGAATCAAACAGTTACTGTAATTACTACACTGCAGAACAATCTAAGGCACTTCTCAGTGCCAACAACAACATAACTATCTTTAACTACAATATCAGATCTTTAAGCAAGCATTATGATGACCTAGCATTACTAAATTCCTTGCATGCCAATATGTCCATCATTAAACTAACTGAAACCTGGCTAAAGCCTGATACTACAGATGTCTATGCCATTCCTGGTTACACAGCCATACACAACTGTAGGCCAGACCAACAAGGGGTGGCACAGCTATATACTACTCAGACCAACTAGAATGTATCACTAATACTTGCACAAGGATGAACATGGGGAATATATAATAGCTAAATTCAAATCCAAATACCTACAAAAACCTCTCACAGTGATAAACATCTACAGAGTTCCACAGTCAAACATTAGCCAATTTAGTCAAAACCTAGGAAGTATGATAACTGATGCACGCATGAACAAAGATCACTTACTACTCTCAGGTGACTTCAATATAAATCTCCTGCAACACCAGGACCCACACGTTACTGAATTCACAAACACAATGAGTAACTGTATGTTACTACCAACAGTAACAAAACCTACAAGAGTTACAGAGACTAGTGTTTCCCTACTTGACCACATCTGGACCAACACCATATCCCCTTTAAAATCAGGCATAATTACAGATAATACCACAGACCACTACCCTACTTTCCTCATAACAACTCTTGGTAAAATACCCCA